GCAATATAACAAAGAGTGAAAAATTGAAGGGGGTCTGAATACTTTCCGTACCCACTGTATTTTAAATTGTAATAATATGACACCATATTACTGTTTTCACTGTAATTTGGATCAAATATGGATTTTAGCGTAACTTACCAGATGCTATCCCTGCCGATGGGTAATTTTTCCCCCATCTCACTGTAATATTCCTCAATCACTATATTTCTGTTTGTGTCGTGAGCGGAGTTGAAGTTGGTGACGACTCGAGTCGGAATGCCAAGGGCTCTCATTACTATCACACAAACAAATGCATTTAATATTGAGCATCAAGAGCACCAATTAAATTACCACATAGTCATTGTGGTTTTTTAATTTCATTATTTGTGATTATTTTTGTCCAGTCCATGAAACGACTTTTTTGAGTGTGGTATTATAAATCACCATTCACTTTCACTGTATGAAAAAGAGCTCCTTTTGTGTTTCACAGCAAAGATGTGAGATTTTTAAGTAAATTAGCCCTTTAAAGCACACATACACACACACACACACACACACACACACACACACGACCATTTAAAAGATTGTGGTCAGTAAGATTTTTTTAAAGAAGTCTCTTACAGTATGCTCACCAATTATTTGATCAAAAACACAGTAAACAGCAATATTGTGAAATATTATTAATATTATTTAAATAACATTTTTCTATTTTAATATATTGTAAATTATAATTAATTGCTGTGATGCACAGCTGAATTTTCAGCATCATTACTCCAGTCTTCAGTGTCACACGATCCTTCAGAAATCCTTCTAATACACTGAACATTTCTGAAACATTTCACATGCTCGTGCTGCTGAATATTTTTGTAGAAACTGTGATACATTTTATTTTTCAGGATTCTTTGATGAACAGAAAGTTCAAAAGAACAGAATTTATTTGAAACACAAATCTTTTGTAACATTATAAATGGCTTTACTGTCACTTTTGATCAATTTAAAGCATTCTTTCAAACATAAAAAAAAATAAAAAATTGCTCTGACCCAAAACTTTTGAATGTAATGACTTCTATTTGTCCCACCTGTACACATGACAGCAGCAAACACCCAGCACTGTCCGTATTTCACAGGACTGAATTGTGTTTCTGCCCACTTCCTGAGAATATCTGCACTGCCGGACCACTGTGAAGGGCTGACACCACCGCTGTAGTCATTTGACCAGTTTCCCATTAACACTCCTTTATCATCATTAGAGTTCACCTGTTTAGAAAGACAGAGAGACTATATGAATACATGGAGAGAGAGAGAGAGAGCAGAGAGGAGAGAATGAGAGCAGATCCTCACCATCGCTGAGATCACGCGGCTGATGTAAACCGGATTGTTGCGGTTCTGCAGATCTTTACCTATATCTGCTTGATGTTGAGGACTCAGCTGCAGCAATTTCATACAAATGTCCAGTATGCCTTTTTCATACTGAAAACACATGTATGCATGACCGGAGTTAATGTGAAGCCATTTTTTCAGTGCTGAGCTGTCAGTCAATGGTCAAACATCTCACCTGATCAAACGACCAGGGTCTGAAGACGATGTTCCCGAGGCTGCCTTTAAACAGCAGGCCGAAATCACTCCTGACAAATTCATTCCTCAGATCCTCCGACTGCAGGAACACTGAATCAGCTGCAGAAAAACACCACAATTTGTTTGTTTTATTGGTGATCTTTGTGTAAAGACAAAAAATGGAAGCAGTAAGTGATAAGAGGCTATGCATTACCGTGATTTTAGCAGCGTATGAAATAGCAGCAAAAGCAATGTATAATTACACTACCATTCAAAACTTTTTTCTTTTCTTTTTATTTCTACTTTTATTCAGCAAGGATGTATTAAACTGTTCAAAAGTGACAGTATGGCATTACAAAAGATTTAGATTTCAAATAAATGCTGCTCTTTTGAACTTTCTATTCATCAAAGAATCCTGAAAAATAAGATGTGTCACAAAATGTTTCAACAAAAAAATGAAGCAAGCGGTACAGCAAATCAGCATATTAGAATGATAGCAGCAAAAACCACTCCGACCACTGCCAAGTAACAGCCTACACTCTTAAAAATAAAGGTGCTTCAAAAGGTTCTTCAAGCGATGCCATAGAAGAACCATTTTTGGTTCCACAAAGAAGCATTCAGTCAAAGGTTCTTTAAAGAACCATCTCTTTCTTACCTTTTTGTAATATGAAGAATACCTTCTTTCGCCACAAAGAACCTTTTGTCAAACAGAAAGGTTCTTCAGATGTTAAAGGTTCTTTGTGGAATCATTTAGACAAAAAGGTTCTTCTATGGCATCGTGAAGCACCTTAATTTTTAAGAGTGTACTATCAAGGCATTCGGTTTTGTATGGACACACAGACAGCACTCACCTGGGCACCAGGGGTTGCAGAGAAGCATGAACTGGCCGAGCAGATGTGTTCTCACAGTCAAATGGGTCTCGACTCTCATCTGAAGTGTGTAGACACCGACAGAAGCAGACGCAGGGCTGGACAGTGATACCCATAGAGCATGGGGTCCAGTCGGGTCCGGGATGCTCCTCTCCAGAACAGCGCTCCATTGAGTCAGAGAGGAATGTCCGAGCCTGGAGACCGGGACCTCCACAGACAGCGGACCTGCGGTGAGGAGAGAGGAGTGGGTACTTTTACATTTGCATGTATTGCTGTAAAATTAAACAATTTTTTTTTTAAAAGTCAGGTTTTACTCTCCTTGTGAGGACATTTGGTCACCATTAAATGTAGGCAAAACCTAACCCCCTCACACATAAATGCACAAACATACCTAAAACAATTCGGAAGATCAGTTTTTCCTTCAGTGGATCAAATGGTCGTCCATCATAGCTGATTGTCACTGTAAAGGCCTGTCCTCTCCGCAGAACCAGAGTGCTGGAACTCAGACCGTCGGTCTTGTGCCGGATCTGGTTTTGCACCTGTTGCAGGTCGATACTTCGAAGTTTGAACGCTGTGTCAAAAATGGTCAAATTATTTTTGAGGCAGCTGCAAATGTTTTTATGTAAAAATATAAGTCATTTAAAATTGCAAGAAAAAATATTTCTTGAAATACCTTTTAAATATAATTTAATTCATTTCCAATATTTTTCAAATAAACAGTGTTCTAAATTATCTTTAAAAAAAGCTGTTTTTAAGCAAACAAAAATAGAACTTAATTATGTTTAAGTGTTTAAAGTTAATAGCAATTAATTAATCATTTATTATAGCAGAGTAAATAGTAAAGTAAAATAATCTGATTATTTTAAGAAAAGATGAAATGCAATAGGCTAATAAATATAACTCAAGAACTTATTGTAAAAGGTTTAGCAAAACGTCTTGAAAGTAAAACAGTAAAAAATAAAAAAAATTATAAAAGCCAGAAATCATTTAAAATTCAGGAGCTCACCATCCATGATGCTATGTTGTGGTTTGCTGTTTGATTCAAATTCTTCATTTATTGTGCTTTTTATACGGAATCCTTCTGCCCCTCCCTATTCACCAACGTTGCCAGATGCAATAGGCTAATAAATATAACTCAAGAACTTATTGTAAAAGGTTTAGCAAAACGTCTTGAAAGTAAAACAGTAAAAAATAAAAAAAATTATAAAAGCCAGAAATCATTTAAAATTCAGGAGCTCACCATCCATGATGCTATGTTGTGGTTTGCTGTTTGATTCAAATTCTTCGTTTATTGTGCTTTTTATACGGAATCCTTCTGCCCCTCCCTATTCACCAACGTTGCCAGACCACATTCACGTAAAGACACGGAATGTTACAATCAAAAGAACCAACACCTCAAACAATTACGCAATCGTACATACGTGAGCACTGTGTTTCAGCAGGTGGATACAGAATGTGCAAGCTCAGACATCTGTGTCATTTATCACTAATGCCTTATACCTACAATGCAGGATATTTTTCATGTCCTCATCATACTAACATATGCTATTTATGCTATTTATTTATTTCTGTATGTATGTATGTATGCTCATTCATTCATTCATTCATTCATTCTGGTCCTCAAATCTGATTGGATGAGCCGTTTCACCATTTGTATCACGCTGTTTGCAGCATTTCTCACAGCGAGTGTCATGGCGGATGCCCAAACCCACAATAATTTAATAAATAATATAATAATAAAATAACATCTGATGTTATGCCACGGAATGTAGTTTTAACCGTTTTTTTAAGGTAAGAACGTGATTTAGACTTCAAAACAATGTTTTTGGCTGAGGGGAAAGTTTCATAACTTTATATTTTTTATAAAATTTTAATGCTTAACCAGAGCTCTGCCTTTGTACTCTTGACTGAATTGCTTAGCAACTAATGGCTATTGTGGTATATGAGAGTGCTCATATAAATAATGTATGTGTGTGTGTGTGTGTGTGTATAAAAAAGTAGCAATTAATTAATGCTAATTTAAATCTAAACACACAGGCAGAAAAAAAACAAATAATTTTATTTAAAGCAGAATAAATAAAGGCAGTATAACAGGTTATATTGATGTGTAATTACAAATTAAATAATATAATATTTATTTGTTTGTTTGTTTTTTGCATTACAGTGTGAGAATTGAATGTAAAAATGGAAAATACAATCTTAACAGTTTTTTTTTTTTTTAAGACTTTTGGAAAGATGTTTTCTTTAAGCAAAATTAATGCAATCAATGCAATGCAATCTTTTTTTTGGTTCTGGATTGAAACAGGTTTTGTGCAATTCAGCCCTTAGAGAATTTTGAGTGTTATTAGCTTGAGAGCTTTATGACTCTGCATCGTATAGACTGTGAATAGTCTGCATTTATAAAGCATGTCATTGTGTCTACAGTCATGGAAAGGGCCTGAGATCACTGAGATTACATGCCCTTACTCACACCAGTGAGACTGAATATATAACAACTCATGACAGATATATAACGGATAAGCGATGGAGGGGGTGTGGTGCTTGGTTTCACTCCCAGATCACTCATTCACTCTGCCCATTTTTCGAGGGACTCTGATTATGACACTCTCATTAAGTAGGAGGATTATGAAATACTGTATATGACATAAAACAACCTCTGTACGTATTAGGAAAAAACTGTGGTATTTACATTATCAGCACAGATATTATCAGATATTATTTACATTATCAGCACAGTCTTTGTAACTGGATTTCATGATCTACTGTGTCAAATGCTGCACTTACAACGAGCAGGATTAAAATACAGCAAGAACCAGAGTCAAGAGTGAGAAAAATGTCATTGGTAACCGTGAGTACTGTGTTGTTCCCTGAAACCAGACTGTTCAATTAAATCAGACATGTATTTCAACTGTGATTCCTTAACAGCTCCCTGATTCCGCTTGAAGGATTGCCTGAAGATTTCATATGATATCTGATGTCTGTCTTTCTTCCATCTGTGCTCAGCGCGCCCACACTCCTGTCTGAGAGAACAAGTGGGCCCATTTAACCAAGGCTGAACTGTTTCAATACCTGTAACCTCACAGGGGCAATTGAGTCAAATGAGGCAATTGCTGTTAAAAAGATTTTCAATTCATTAAAAAGATTTTCCCAATTCATTGGGATTGACACCAGAGAAAAGGCCTGTAAAAGCATTAAAGGTTTTAGAAGACCTGGCAGTAGACGAATTAAAATATCTAATAAAACATGGCAAATGATAGGATTTGGGCAGAGTACAAGCTAGCACAGAGTCAAAAAGCACTGGACAATGATCAGAGATAACAGTGTCACAGATTTCGAGATTAGTCACAGAAAAACCAAGTGAAAACACCAAATCCAAAGTGTGACCTTTCTGGTGTGTGGGTCCAGAAACACCTTGTTTCAACAAAGACAAATCAAATACAATACAATCTCAGAAAACAAAAGATACAAAAGCTGTCACTGGGGCAGTACTCTTTCAAATGGTACTATGCACACTGGAGGTATTAATAAATATATTTAAGGTTACAATATACAACTTTTAGAGATAAAGTACATAGGTGCACTTTTTGAAAAAGTGTAAAAAAAATGTGTGTATATATACATATATATATATATACACAGTATCTCACAGAAGTGAGTACACCCCTCACATTTTTGTAAATATTTTATTATATCTTTTCATGTGACAACACTGAAGACAAGGTCTCTAACATCCACCAGCTCCGTAATGTCGTCATGGAGGAATGGAAGAGGACTCCAGTGGCAACCTGTGAAGCTCTGGTGAACTCCATGCCCAAGAGGCTTAAGGCAGTGCTGGAAAATAATGGTGGCCACACAAAATATAGACACTTTGGGCCCAATTTGGACATTTTCACTTAGGGTTGTACTCACTTTTGTGGCCAGTGGTTTAGACATTAATGGCTGTGTGTTGAGTTATTTTGAGGGGACAGCAAATGTATTCATTTTTTTAAATGTTTTGTTATGTTGCTGCCTTATGTTAAATTGCTTTAAATTACTTTTTTCCCCACATTATTCTACACTCCATACACCATAATGGCAAAGCTGAAATTTAGCTCAGGAGCATTCATATTGCTTGTAGTCTGGTTTGATGAACCTCAATTCCAAGCATAATGTTTGAAGGAAACCAGGCACAGCTCATCACCTGCAGAGTACCATCCAAAGAGTAAAGTGTGCTGGAGCCTCATGCTGTGGGGCTGTTTTTCAGCGGCAGGGACTGAGGGACTAAAATATTGAGATAGCCTTAATGAAAACCTTGTCCAGAGCATTCAGAACCTCGAATTTCCTTGAGTGGCCCAGCCACAGCCTGGGATTGAACCCAATCAAATATTTCTGGAGAAACCTGAAAATGTGTGTCTGCCCAATTCCAACCTGACAGAGCTTGAGAGGTGAAGAGATGAGGAGAAGAATGACAGATAATTGCCAAATGCTGATGTGCAAAGCTTGTCGCATCATACTGTACCCAAAAAGACTTGAGGCTGTAAAGGTGCTCCAGCTAAGTAATGAGTTATGCAATGTACTTATTTCAGTTTTTTATTTTTCAGTGGTTCAACCTTAATTTTATGAAGCTACGAGAATACTTTTTGTGTACAAAGTAAACAAAAATAATGAATTTATTCAACAATTTCTTATCTTCTGTGCCAGCCTCTGCTGCATGTTGTCATGAGTAAAACGATGCATGTGTTTGCATTCCTCTGCTTGCAAACAAGGCACAGCAAATCCAGGTTCTACGTCAGAACGCCAGCTCCTGTGTTAGCAGCACCATGTGTTGTGATACTCTCCTGAACGCACGTTAATTGACAAGGATAAGAAGAAATTATTGAAAAAAAAGTCATTATCTTTGTGCGCAAAAAGTATTTTGTAGCTCGTAGTATTCTCGTAGCTTGGTAAATCATATTTATGAAATAAATGTCATATTTAAGTTTAAATTTTGACATAGAAAGTCATAATTAAGACAGAAAATCAAAATTATGAGATACTGTCATCATTTTGAGATAAGTCGAAATTAAAAACGTAAAAAATTAGAAACTGTCATATAAGTTGAAAGTTATTACAAAAGAGTTAAATTATGAGATAAACCTATTAATAAGCAGCAAATTAGGAGTTTATTGAAGCAAAAGTGAGCGAGAATTAGACCTTAAAATAAAAGTGTGACCAAATTTGACTACCCAGAAAGGTAGCAAGAACATCGTTAAAATAGTCCATGTGACATCAGTGGTTCAACCTTAATTTTATGAAGCTACGAGAATACTTTTTGTGTACAAAGTAAACAAAAATAATGAATTTATTCAACAATTTCTTATCTTCTGTGCCAGCCTCTGCTGCATGTTGTCATGAGTAAAACGATGCATGTGTTTGCATTCCTCTGCTTGCAAACAAGGCACAGCAAATCCAGGTTCTACGTCAGAACGCCAGCTCCTGTGTTAGCAGCACCATGTGTTGTGATACTCTCCTGAACGCACGTTAATTGACAAGGATAAGAAGAAATTATTGAAAAAAAAGTCATTATCTTTGTGCGCAAAAAGTATTTTGTAGCTCGTAGTATTCTCGTAGCTTGGTAAATCATATTTATGAAATAAATGTCATATTTAAGTTTAAATTTTGACATAGAAAGTCATAATTAAGAGTCGAAATTAAAAACTTAAAAAATTAGAAACTGTCATATAAGTTGAAAGTTATTACAAAAAAGTTAAATTATGAGATAAACGTCAAAATTGTACAAAAAAACCCCTGAAATTATGAGATACTAAGTCACAATTATGAGAAATTAAAAATTATTACAAGTTTAAATCATGACATAAAAGTCATAGTTATTAAAGATCATGAAGTTATGAAATAAAAATAATAATTGACAAAAGTCTAAATTATGTAAAAATTGTAATAATGAGATACTAAATTTGAACTGAGATAAAATGGAATTATGACAAAAAAACGGTTTAAACCGATTAAAATTAAAATTACCATGTCAAAATTATAAGATAAATTTAAATTATGACAAGTTTAAATTATGACATAAAAGTCAAAATTATGACAAAAAAAATCATCATGACAAAAAGTCAAAATTATGAGATGTTAAGAAATTCTGAGATAGAAAGTCAAAATTATGATACAAACATCTGAAAATATGAGTTCAAAATGTGTGACATACATCTGAAATGGTGAAAGACAGTATATGACTCTCTCTCCCAGTGTTGTGTTGAGAGCAGACAGTGTTGAGTAAAATAATAACTCAACTGAGGTATAGTTTTTTGACATATTGAACTTTTGTCAAGACTTTTCAGCACATTACACATTACACAACGATGACATATGCATTGTTTGTGCATGTTTGTGGGGCTTGTGCGCATATATTTGCATATAACTTTACATGGAGGATCTGTCATGAAGAAATCCTGCCAGCATTGGCAATGCATCACACACACACACAGCCGCAAGAGTCTGGAGCGTGTGAAGATGATGATGAAATTGTCAGTTTATAGCAAATGACCTGATGAAGGATTGGACTGAACAAACTGATGATTAATGCCACAGGAGTTCTACACAATGACCATACAACCTAAGAAAAAGATTGAATTCAAAGAGAAAATTAATTATTTATCTTGCCTCTTTGGTGGATATTCTTTTTTTGTTTTCTGCAAGACTCACTTAATTTTTATGTTTTTTCATAAAACAAGGCTTAGCATCTTATGTCATCTTGATTCTTAAGGAAGAACACTTGAACACTTACGAATGTTTAGATATTTGTTTAGCTATATCACTGTTACCGATTCTCATAATGGTGAGAGAATTTAAGATGAAAGCTTTTAGCTCAATTTTATGTTTTAACACTAAAGCAATGGGTGGGGGGAGGGTTTCCAGGACAGTTTTAATGTCACATGTCCTGTTCAGCATGTCAGTATTTGAAATATTTGCTCTCACTGAAGCTGACAGTCTTTGCTGTGAATGACTTAACTAGTCTGCCCTCTGCTGGAGAATGCATGTGAACAGATCGCAAACATGGATAATGCATGGAAATGCTTTGTTTTCAGGCTTGTGCCTAAATAATCTTGAAAACAAGTCAGTGAATCAAGTCAGATTTCACAGTGATATTAAAAAAAATGTTTAGAAAGCAATTATTTCTAAATGTGCTTCAAGCATTAGTGCAGCCCTTCATGAGGGTTCACTATCATTTCTAAAGGTGTGTGACTCTAAGATGCTTGAACATTGGTGGTCTTGAATCCGTGCAGGACGGTGGGAGGATTCTCTGACACTAAGCAAGCAGAAAGCATCTTGGCACCCGCCATCCTCTGAGTGAAATTGATGGGCTTTTTCATAGTTTCTCGAGGTTGAATCATAAGCCTGAAATATAAAACACAGAACGTTTAGAACAAAAACAGGCAAGCATCACTTTTACTGCTGCTCATGTTTAGGTTTAGTGATTTACACAAGAGTTTAAAGTGTATATCATGGTGTAAATCTGGAGGTTTAACACACAAAAGAACTCACATGTGTTTTTGTGATATGCATATGATTACAGAACTGCGTCAGAAATGCTGACTAACAAGTGTGTACTGACACTTCTAATAGACACTGTAGCAGTGAAACTGATGTCAAAGATAATCATGTCAAAAATCTCAGAAACAACCCCTCCCACTGATTGAAAACTGTATGAACTCCACTGTTTGACGCCCATCAGAATCACTCATCAGGCATGTGAACTAAATTTATTATGGGATCTATTTTAAACCGTGTAAGATTCTTCCCAGGTGAAAGAATTTCACTTCCATAATATACTTAAAGTGCTCTATTTTCGCACACTGATTAAAAATCACTTTTTAATGACAGTGATGTATAATGTGGCTTTATTGTAGTAAAAAACTGGATGCACTATAGTATGGATTAAATATCAGGGTGCTGTGTGTCATTTTTGGATGTTAAAATACTCTCTCTCATACTGTATAAGCTAATGATGCAGATTCAAAGATTGATTTTTTTATTGGAAATTATAACAGTGCACTCTAAAAAATGCTGGGTTAAATACAACCCAGTGCTGGGTAAAATAGGGACAAACCTAGCAATTGGACTGTTTTGACCCAGCGGTTGGGTTAAATGTTTAACCCAACCTTCTGGGTAGTAACCCAACCGCTGGGTCAAAACAACCCAATTGCTGGGTTTGTCCCTATTTTACCCAGCACTGGGTTGTATTTAACCCAGCATTTTTTAGAGTGTGTGACACTTTCTAAACATTATTCTGTTTATTTGAGCATTCCAACCAGCCTGAGACATTGTATCAACCAATGGTGTGTGTTTGGGGGCGGGGCTATATGTTTGCTGACCAATGGCAAACCAGTATTTGGGAAAATCTGTTTGAAAAAAAGTCATTTGTGTGATTCATTTGTTGATGCTCAGAAAAGAGCTTTAAAGACTAAAACGACACACTTTACGCACCTCATTTGAGCTTTCTCCTCCAAGAGTCCTGAACAAGATACGGTCAGTTCTCCGCTCACTGCAACACTGAACGGGTTCGTGAAGATCACCGTGGCCACTTGTGGCGTGTTAATGATGACCAAGAACTCATTTTGAATCTGGAAGAAAACACTATTTGCTTTAGTTCTTTTCTACTTGTGAATTTAGTTATGCAAAAACATAACCCTTTATATGTATAATGCATTATAAAATGTTGTAATGCATTATATGTTTTCTTAAATACTTATAACCACAATTAAAAAGCTTTATAGTTTCTCAAGGTGTAACAATGACTAGATAAGTATTATAATATTTTATATCTGTGGTTACAGTTATTCATGAGATCATGCGATGCATTATAAGGTGCACTGCAAAGCATAATTAATGCATTAAAATACTTTTATAATGCATTATAGATAAAGGCTTCAAGTTAATTCTCCAACATGATATCTATGATCTTGGAGTGATGCATGTATTTACTGTGTAGACAATAAAAAACATCTGAAAATGGTTTAAATTTGTCACAAAAAAAATCTTGTTTCTAATATAAAGGGGGTCAAGCGTAGAGGAGTTCATGTTTCTTTTAAAGCTAGTATATGTCCATGTTGGGCCAGCATATACCTGTATATTGCGCATTCTCAGTGCGATGGGAGTCCTGTGAGGATGGACACACGGCGAATCCTGCGACTCTTGACCGTTTTATCAGGACTGAACGGAGCGTGTGAAGGTGAGTATGAAGTGTTTGTTCATTCCAGCAGTGTTTTGTTGACATCCGTGGGCATAGTATTTTGAGCAGGGGGGGTCGATTTTTCCCAGGAGCGAAGTTATAAGTTTGCAATACACAGGCTTTGTCTTGTAGTCGGTGTTACAAGAAATAAAAAAATAAAATCAACTTTGTGAGCAACATTAGACGTTTAGTAAAAGATGTGATGGTCATTGGACCTGCTTCAAATTTTTCCACTCATTGTAGACTGTTATAAACAATTATGCATTTTGACATGTCCATGCTGCAATTTTGTGATGTTGTTATTCCCTGTAAAATTGCCAAGATTCTGAAGTATTATGCAATATTTAATCACACTAACGGGTGGTTTTTTTTGTGTGTGTGGTCCATTTGTGAATAGCAGTGATGGATGTTTACTGCACAATATACACTGTATACTGTCTACTGTTTTTATTAAATAATATGAGATGTGGTATATAAAACCTTTTAAATAGCAGTATGCTACATTGTTTTCACATGACTTCACTGCAGTGCATTTTTAATTCAGCAAGTGACGTCTAGTCTAGAAAATAAAAAGGTTAATTGTTAACCTAATTTTGGTTTAACATCTTGTCTAATCAAATAAGGTGTTTGGGACATTATTTTGGAAATTTATCAGCACTTTACCTGTGTACATGTGCACGTACAAACAAGTACATGTCAGTTTGAGGATGTGGTGTCGTGAAGCCAGTTTAGCAGTGATATCAAGCTTCTGTTTTGCGTAACAATACTGTTTACAATACAATACTATGCACTATCATTTACTATTACTGTTATTTGCTAAATGGTGTTTGGTATGTGTTTTGATGTTATTTTTTTTTTATTGGTTTAGACAGAATGGAAATTAAAAACATTTGGCATCAAATTGCAAACTAATGCAGTACTAAAATGTATTATTAAGCAAATGTCCGCAATTAAATTGCGTTCAATTTGCAGAGGCATATTTTGGCATTACGCAAAAAGATTAATTGCATATAAAAAATGGTAAAATACACAGTTTTGCCCCCAGCTCTGCACTAAACTCTTGCGCCAAAATACTGCAGAGTTTGATTGAACTTTGAATTTAACAGCAGAGGGATATGGGACATGTTTTCTCCTCCGTGTTGGTAAGTAGTGGTCAACCGATATATGTTTTCCTGTTTGTTACTTTTATTTTGACTGCGCTGACAGCGACATTAATTAAAATAAATAAAATGATATCGGCTTTATATCGGCCATCGGCCACTCTGCTTTCCAAGATATAGGCATCGGCTGTCAAAAAAACAATATCAGTCGACCACTATTGGTAAGCCTAATTATTTTGCGATCATTAATGCATGATTGTATGAGTAAGTAGAATTTTTTTATTGGCATTTAGAACTGAATGTTTGTTTTTTTTCCTTCTGTCACTATCAGAAAAGACTTATGAGTTAAATCTCTGCCATCAAATGTGACATCGACCACAATGGCAGCGTCATAACACCTGTCCTCGAGTAGTTTCACTCAGTTCGTAGCCCAAGGGGAAACTCCCATGATGATGATGGAGCATCTCTTTACGTCATATTGTGTGAATGGGTGTAAATAACAGGAAATCCTGTCTGTCAACTAATATGCCACTATACATGCAATAATGAAACAAGTTCAGTGGAAAACCAAGCTCACATGCTAAATTTATACATTCTGCTGTGACCTACATACATGCAAACACTTTGATTAATAAACAAGTCCTGTGCTTGTCTGTTGCTGAAAGCAGAAAATGTAGAAACAGCCTGGGCAATACTGCAAGAGTATACCATAAAACAAGATCCTCTTAATGTGAATTGATCACAGGCTTCATTTGTTTAATCGCTCCATGTTTTTGGCTTGGCATGTTGGCATGAGCTGGAACTGTGTTCAGTCACGCTACGAATGCAACACGCCGCATGCATTCAGCGCTGTGAAAACAGAGAACATTTTGGACACAATCACTGCAGTTTTTTTCAAATTTCAGTTCACATTTTCTAATTATCCATATGCCATGAAAAATATCTCAATGATGATATCATTGTGTAGGAGCTTCACCAGAGAATGAATCAAGCGCCAAATGAATGTTGCACTTCAGGGACTCGCAGCTGTTGCATAACTCTTTTACACAACTTGTTACATGACTTATAGGACTGCCAGTAGTTAGTGAAGACGTGCTTTACAGTTTAGTAGCATTTTATTTTTTTTCCTCTGAAATCTCTAGTCATGTTTGTTAGTCATGGTTTCCTGTACCAGAAACTTTATTCATATCCTCTGACCCTTGTAATAAAACAGGCTGTTGCTGAAGTACTTTTTAGATTTCTGTATGCAAATCTTTTATAGTTTTTATTAATGTAACATTTTATAATTGGCTTAGTGTACTGGCATAGTTCACGTTAATATTTATCAGGGCAGGCAGAGATGCTGAAAATAAATAGGTGTTATGTAAATGTTGGTGGCTGATTTAAAACTCCAGTGTTGGGTCAAGATGGTCAGTGAGGTCAGCAAGTGACTATTTTTATCTTTGGCTTTCATGATCATTAAAAGTGGATTTGGAGATGCAACAACTTGAAGAGGGTTTTTAGCCTGCAACAGTAGCTGTTTGATGCTTACTTTTTCCCACCATATGCATATTGTCAAAATACACCGGGTCTTTTATTTTGAAATGCTTTAGCGTTGCTGGCTGCTCATTCATGTCTAAAAAATATTACAATATAAAAACCAAGAATTAAACATTGTCATAATTTCATTGTAAGTAATTGCTTGGCATAAATGCATGTTTTTAATTGATTGCTCTGAAACCGCGATCCTGTTGAATGCGCAACAGTGCCACGTTTTGACTATGAAATGTGCAGCACTCATATATTCAATGAAATCATATATTTGATGATTAATAAAAGCATGTGTAAGCTGTTTAGCAATTCCTGTTTTTTTTCCATCACCAATTTTAAGATGTTTGTTATTTAATTTAAGATAGTTAAGGCGTTTTATGAGCTAAAATTTCATAAAACAGAGGGACTTTTTAATTCGCACACATGCTCCTAAATAAATTTTACAGCTTGCACATTTATTTTTAGTCGCAAATGTGAGTGAAATGCTTGCATGGCCGAGGCCAGTTGGGCTATCAACACTTTAAAACCATCTCTAAGAAGATGCTTATCATTTTAGGATGAAATGGTAAGTTAAAAAGTAGTTTATAAGCAGTTAAAAGTAGTTTTTAGAAAATATTAGAGATGCACCAATTGCAATTTTCTTGGCCGATTCCGATTTTTTGGAAGTGTGACCTGCCGATACCTATTTTTGCAGATTCTGATTTTCTTTCTAAGAACTATAATTGACAGCATATACAAACAAAAATCTATGCAAATTTCAATGCAAAAAGTATTTACATAATAGAAGAAATTATTAAGCATTACAATTCCCCCAATCTGGACTAAGTTACAGATTTTCTCTCACTTAAACAACTCTCAAAATAAAGTGCTCTGTGACTGGAAAGAGGAAGAAATAGTTAACTTAAAATGAGTTGCTGTATGTAGCAAAACAGATGTCATTTCCCACTATGTTTATAAATGGTCGTTTTTGTCCCCCTAACCTTATTAAATGTCATCTTTCACATCAAATTCTTACTTTGTTTCAATTAATTCAGTTAGAATAATAAGAAACTGTAGAGTTGTTACCAATCAAATGAAATTAGCAAACTCTTATCTTTCCACTGCTGAGGAAACAGAAGCTGCATCTGAAGTGGCATTAGATGCATTTACACAGACAGTTTGATGAAGCTGAGGAGCCATAAATGCATTTACACTGCAAAATTTCAAATGCATAAATAATTTTATAACACATTTTTTTTAAACATACAAATAAATATTGAAAAAAATGCAATGATACTTTGAAATATGACTAAACCACTAGTAGGTGGCGGCAAATGTCTGTTTTAATGAGTGAGTCATTCATTCAACCAATTCATACAAATGGCTGATTTATTCAGAAAAGAGGCAAGTGACTGTACTTATGAAAGGCCACTGAATCATTGACTCACTCGATTCATTCAAAAACGTGGATTCATTCAGTAACGAAACACCGCTGTGTTGCTCGGAGACACACAACAGTTCTGCTGTGGCTTTGATCGGAACTATTT